ATAAAGTTTATACATTGGCTTATTTTTCACTTAGATCTTCATGAAAGCTTGTTTGTTGCCACTTTTGGGTCATTTCCAATATAGTTTCGAGTAGAGAGCTTTTGAGACTGTAAGGACTTTAGATCTAGACACTCTTGAGCTTCAGAAGCTCAAAGTTGCCACCTTTATTCAGCCAAGATCCTATTCTATGCCCTAGACTCTCATTTCTAGCTTGTTCTGGGTGATTTAGCTTCATAGTATCATGCATGCACGTAAAGTTAGCAACTTTACGTGTTATTCTAGCCTAAGGGGTCCAGATCTATGAACTAGAGGCAGTGGAATCACCTAGGATCAACTGTATAATCTGAGCATGCAATGGACTCGCCGAGTTGTTCTTGGGACTCGACGAGTCGGACCGATGTCCCCAAAACCCTTCTTTGATTATGAGTGAAACCACTGAGTTAAGGAGATGACTCAGCGTGTTGGGCGTGAGTGAGACTTGGAAGCAAAAGAACTCGACGGGTCCAAAGGGAGACTCGACAAGTAGAATCGAGATGTCCCGATGTTATGACCGTTTGAACTCGACGAGTCGGTAGAGGGACTCGGCGAGCTGGGTTGACTGAGAGTTGACTTTGACTTTGGCGTTGACTTTGACCAGAAGGGTACAATGGTCATTTTACCCTAAGAAGGATTATCAGTCTTTAATTAAGTGTTGTTATGGAATTATAGCCGGAGAGCCGCCGGAGCAGCAGATAGGGATCCCTCACCCAGTTTTTCAGCAGTCAGCCATACGAGGTGAGTTTCCTTCCAGTAGGAACGGGTCTACGGCCACAATGCCGAACCGCTTAAGTTGTAGAGTATGCCAGGGTAAGCCCGATGTCGGGGTTAGCCCGATGCAGTTTACATGTTTCCGGACCTCGGTCCGATGTCGGGGCGGTCCCGAGAGTAGTTATGTATGCCTGATGTCTTTGTGATTCATGCATGTTTATGTGTTAGGTGTTATGTGCTCCGTGGTAAGCCCGATGTCAGGGAAAGTCCGATGTATGTTAATTATTATGCGATGAGTTATATGTTTCGGGGCAAGCCCGATGTATGATAGTTATATGTTATGATTATGTGTTCCGGGCTTCGGTCCGATGCTGGGGCAATCCCGATGCAGATTATATGTTCATGATATATGTTATGTTGTGTATGTGTCGGGGTAAGCCCGATGCCGGGGTGAGCCCGATGCCCGATGCAGTCGGATGCCGGGGTGAGCCCGATGCCAGGCAGGAGTCCGATGTCGGGTAAGCCGATGTCGGGATTCGTCCCGATGCAGTTGGGAGTAGTCCCAGAGTTATGTGATGGTTATATGTTATGTGTATGGTATGTGGTAGTTTGGGGGAGCTCACTAAGCTTCGTGCTTACAGTTTCAGTTTTGGTTTCAGGTACTTCAGCTAGCAAGGGAAAGGGCTTTGAATGATGGCATGGCACACACCACAGTTTTCTTAGCATGGGAGTTACTCTGATATGTTATGTGAGATTGTGATATGTTGACAGATTTTTTGAGATTTTGAGATACATGTTTCATGATTTTATACTATGGCGATGATACTTATGTTTGCTAAATGGTTTTGAAAACGAATTTTTTGGCTAGTATTTTTGGGATGTTTCAAGTTGGTATCAGAGCCTTGGTTTGAGGGATTCGGGCACACTTTCGGGTGTGTCTGAACTCAAACTAAGGAATTGGTATAGAAATTTTCAAAAGAAAATCAATTTTTTTGTAAAAAGGATCTTGAGGAAAGAAAAGAGTTTTAGAAAAGTGAAATATGGCTGAACTTGGTGCCACATGCCGCCATCTGGTGGCAAGACTTGGGGAGAAAGCAATGACCAAGATTGTGCCACATCACCTATTTTCGCACAACACACTTCCGACTTCTAAAATCCGTAACTTTCGCATACAAGCTCCGTTTTGACGTTCTTTATATTCACACGTAGGTAAAAATAAGATCTACAACTTTCCTTTTGACTCTGTTGGCTAATTCTCGACCGATCTTAAATTTAACAGTAGAAGGTGACTACACTGTTAAATATCCGTGTAAAATTCATAACTTCTACATACGGACTCCGTATTCGTCTGTCTTTTTGTCGTTGCGTTCCTATTAATGAGATCTTCAATTCTCATTTAGGTCGCGTTGGCCAAAAACCGCTCGATTTAAAATTCGAGTTTCGGGCCGTGCACTGCTAGGCCAAATCTTAGAAAAATCATAACTTCGTCATACGAAGTCAGATTTGGGCGTTCTTTTTATGCACACTCTCGGTTTAACATATACTACAACTTTTTTTTAGATCACTAAGGCCAAAAAGTCTTCTATCGTAAATTCACTATTTACGTCGCGTAGTGCCGTGTCGGTTTGACGCGAAATTTCGACGGGCCATAACTTCATCGTTATAACTCGGATTTCGGCATTCTTTATATGTACGGAACCCTTGTGACATATTCTACAACTTGGTTAAGATTACTCCTTCTAAATAATCTTCCATCAAAAACTCATTTTTGATGCTCATTTGTCTCTAAGGGGCTGTTTGTTTTTTTTGTGAAGATCTGCACAACCACTTTTGTCTGCGCCGCACAGACATATGCCCTCGCAGCGTGTTTGTTTTTTTGAAGTGCACATATCAAAAAACGTCTGTGCGAGGTCTTCCTGGCGCAGACATGGGCAACTAAACCAAAAAAAAAACATGGGCCACCGTGCATTTTTTTTTTTTTTTTTTTTTGCTGAAAATGCATTTTTAATGTTTATGACATGAAATTAAGTTTGAAAAATCAATTTATTTCAACAGCTGTAGACGTTAAAAACAAACAGTCTTCTTATTGCAGACTGCAGACATTTGGTCCATCTCTTCTGCCGCAGAGGCTTGCAGATGTGGTCCGCAGACTGCAGACATTTTGACTTCAAAAAAACAAACAACACTTAAATTGACTAGCCCAAATCTACGGGCGTTACAAACCACATGGCCATTTTTGCAATTTTGTCCACTAAAAACACTATAGCTTGAATCGACTCTATCAATGATATTAAACATTTTGATAAATCCAATCACTTTGTGACATATTATCCAAGTGACGATAAAAAGAAGACAAGTGTTATATTTTCCTACAATTTTTTTTCTATTTATTTTTCTATTCATTAAATCAAGACAAGTGTTCAAATAAAAAGAATAATTAATAAAGAAAGAGAGAGAAAATTAATGATATTCACATGTCATAATCTTATATAAATAGAGATTTTTCCAAATAATATGTACTTGACTTTAACGTCTCGTTCCCGAGTTTAACAAAAGAAAAGAAGAGAAGAGAAAAAAAAAATCATGAGAGAAAAAAAGAGAAAGGAAAGGAAAACATTTTTTTTTGTGTTTCCGAGTTGGAGAGAAGTGAAAATAAAATGAATCATTTTGTTCTTTCTTTCCAAATTCTCGTAAATCGGAAGGAAAGTTAGGAGGGAAAGTGATCCTCCCATTTCCCTCTACTTTCCTCCACTTCATGAAACTCGGGAACACCAATTTCTTTTATTTTCTTCTCATTTCCACCAATTTTGCTTTTCTTTCTCTCGTTAAGTTGAACTCGGGAATGGGGTGTAAGAGTTAAGGAGATATTTATGCCACCAACTATATTTTACAAATTAAAAATTAAAAACTAAGTAATATTCGAAAGAAGACCAGTGAAAACAAAAATGTGCAGTAGTTAAGCTTCAAATAAAAAATAGTTTAAATCTACTAACTTTCCTCCTCAAAAAACCATAAAGTAAGGAATTAACCGAAAAGAAATCAAATGTTTTCTTACCATATATTCAATAAATCAAATTTCAATACTCATTAAATCAAGATAAATATCACAATAGAAGAAATAACTAAAAAAAATTAATAGATTTTATATATCATTATTTTATATGAGTAAATGGTACTTGTCGAATTATTTAATACAAAGTTGATATATGTTATCGTGTTTTATATTATTACAAACTATATAAGTTTTTGAATACATTTGAAATAATTATTAAATTTAAGTTATAACTATATAACTAAATCCAAGGTTGTCAAGATCGGGATCCTACGTATGATCGTTTCTGGGTTTGCAAGATCGGGATCGGGATCCTAAGATCCCACAAAATAAAATATAATTTTAATTTTTAATTTTTAATTATGAAAAATAGTTCAAACATTCAATTTTTCGTTCAAAAGTTATAAAAACTTCAAAATATTAGTCATAAGTCGCAACACAAAATGATAAATGTTAAATTGGTAAGGGTAAAAGACATAAAGTCCTAAAAAAAACTCATTTGCAAAAAAAATAAAAAATAAATATAAAATATAAAAATAAGGGAGGTAGGATCGGATCGGATCTCGATCTTACGATCCTACTTACGATCCTACCTGCGATCCTACTTCAAATACGATCCTTTTACGATCCAGATAGTTTTTCATACCTAGGATCGTAGGATCGTACGATCCTACGATCAGGATCGCGATTTTGACAACCATGACTAAATCAACATAAACTATATACATTTAAATTAGAACAATTAAAATAAAATACATTTGTGACAATTTAACACTAAAAATAATATTGATGAATAGTAACGTTATACTATTTACAACATTAAAAGATTTTGAGTTGAAAATGATGTCTTAAGATATTTTTACACCAAGCCGTTAAAAAAAAAAGATATTTTTACACCAAAAAATACTCTGAGTTGAACATGTTTAGAAAGAATTTGAAGAGCCCACGGATTAAAATTTTGGAAAGCCCAATCGACTAAAAATACTAGGGATCTAAACGAATATTCTTTGTTAAAGGGGAGAAAAAAAAGAGACGGGCCCATCAAAATCAAATTCAAAATCTTCGTATCGTCAACAAAAGGCGATGAGGAGAAACGTTATGCGCAAGAAAGAAGATCCTGTCCGCCGATCCTACCAACGGTCCAGATTAACTCCACCTGTTCTTTAATACGCCCAACTTCGAACTTCTAAGTTCTAACACAGCGTTACATTCACAAAGTCTCTCTGCTTTCTCATTTTCTGTCAACAGAACAAAATGGCGACGATCAAGGCTGTTAAAGCTCGTCAGATATTCGACAGCCGTGGTAATCCTACAGTTGAAGTAAGTTCGTACTTCTTTTTTCTCGATGCATTTTCTTTTTGTATATCGTCATCCCTTTTAGTTGTAATTTATGTTATGCTGTACATTGGATTCATCAAAAATGCCGTACGTAGATCATCCGTAGGGTGATAGGATTTGATAAGTAGATCAAAATGTATATCCACCTAGTAGCAACGATTGATTAAAATATTGATTCGTCGGATGTTAGATTTTGATCACCGTGTTTTGTTCTAACTGTATTGTTTATCTACTTAGTAATATCTATCGATTAAAAACGCCGGAAGTAGATTATTCACTGGATCAGTATTATTCGTTCTATCCGTATTTTATATCCACTTCATGCATCGTTCGACTAAGAATGAATGAAGTCTACGCCATGTGGTGTATATATTACCGAGTATTGTTTGTTATGGACTATGATCTGTTTAAAAAATCCAGTAGTATATTGACTCCTTGGATGTTTGTTATGGACTATGGAAACTGTCCGAATGTTTTGTATGTTCGATTTTGATATTACCGAGTATTGTTAAACCATACCAATTGGGAACTGAAATTAATAATTTCAGGTTGATGTTACGCTCTCTGATGGAACATTGGCCAGAGCTGCAGTACCCAGTGGTGCTTCAACAGGTATGATACACAAACATACTTTCCTACAAATTCTTTTATTACAATCATGGATGATTTGACTTATAGCTTATAACTGGTTTATCTTTTCATTTTGTATTCACAGGTATATATGAAGCCCTAGAATTAAGAGATGGAGGTTCTGACTATCTAGGAAAAGGTGTCTTGAAGGTTTGTAAAACTCTTGTTCCTAAACGTCTTTGTTTTTCATATGATTTTATTCCCTAATAAGTAATAATCCCCACTAAACTAAACTTTACATGTTATTATTGACTGGTCAGGCTGTGGAGAATGTCAACTCAATAATCGGACCTGCCTTGATTGGAAAGGTATGTTCTTTTCATCATTTTGTATTAGCCTCTACAGTCATTTAATATAATATGATTCTATGTCAAAATGCACCGCAGGACCCTTCAGAGCAAACAAAAATTGACAACTTCATGGTTCAAGAACTTGATGGAACTGTAAACAAATGGGGTTGGTGCAAACAGAAGGTATCACAATTCATTATTCAATTCAGTTATTAATCAAAAAAAAAAGTTTCAAACTCTTTTAACATTTTAATCCCTGTCTATCAGCTTGGAGCAAATGCTATACTAGCAGTCTCACTTGCTGTGTGTAAAGCAGGAGCTTCAGTGAAAAAAATCCCTCTCTATAAGGTACTAGGCACATCATATCTCTGTCTCTTTGATATGAATTCGTACAAGTTTTTTGACTTATTTTTGGTCTTAATAAATAATACACACACACACACACAGCACATTGCAAACCTTGCTGGAAACAAGACGTTGGTGCTGCCTGTACCAGCATTCAATGTGATAAATGGAGGTTCACATGCAGGCAACAAGCTTGCAATGCAGGAGTTCATGATTCTCCCTGTTGGAGCTTCTTCTTTCAAGGAAGCCATGAAAATGGGTGTGGAAGTATATCATAACTTAAAGTCTGTGATCAAAAAGAAATATGGTCAGGATGCCACAAATGTTGGTGATGAAGGTGGCTTTGCTCCCAACATCCAGGTCAGCAATTTTACTTTAATAAATTATATTTATATCTATACAAAATAAACTTATGTGTTGTTGTCATTCGTTATACAGGAGAACAAAGAAGGTCTTGAGCTCTTGAAGACTGCAATAGCAAAAGCTGGATATACTGGAAAAGTAGTTTTTCTTTTTATAAAATATATGTTGACTGTTGTATTGTTAGATTTGTTTCTGAAAAAAAAAAGATTAATTCCAAATTCCAGGTTGTTATTGGAATGGATGTTGCTGCTTCCGAGTTCTATGAAGACAAGGGCAAAACCTATGATTTGAACTTTAAGGAAGAGGTAAGAATTAATTATTGGATTAAGTGTTATTATGAAATTAAATAAAAATAAAAGGGGTTTATAATTTTGTATTGTTGTATTGTTGTAGAAGAATGATGGATCAGAGAAGATATCAGGGGACAGTTTGAAGAACGTGTACAAGTCATTTGTGGGTGACTACCCGATTGTATCAATAGAGGATCCGTTTGATCAAGATGATTGGGAACATTATGCAAAGATGACATCAGAAATTGGTGAACAGGTTCAGATTGTTGGTGATGATCTTCTCGTGACAAATCCCAAGCGTGTAGAGAAAGCAATCAGAGAGAAGAGTTGCAATGCCCTTCTTCTTAAGGTATTATTAGTCTTATCTTCATGCATGCATGCGAATAAATATATAATAGGGGGATTTTGGATTTATAAATTGGATTATTTTAGGTGAACCAAATTGGATCGGTTACAGAAAGCATAGAGGCAGTGAGAATGTCGAAGCGTGCTGGATGGGGTGTGATGGCCAGCCATAGAAGTGGTGAAACAGAGGATACTTTTATTGCAGATCTTTCAGTTGGTTTGTCAACGGTATTAATAATATTAATTAATATTTTTACCATATTTTGAGGTGGTGTTTTGTTATTTTATAAATGATTTATTTATTATGGGAATTTGTGTGTGAAACAGGGTCAGATTAAAACTGGAGCTCCTTGTCGTTCAGAACGACTTGCAAAATACAACCAGGTAATCAAATTAATCTCTACTTGTATTTATTATGTAAATGAGTTACTTGAATAAATTTATAATTTTAATTTGAAAACTGAAGCTTCTGAGGATAGAAGAAGAGTTGGGAGCAGCAGCAGTGTATGCAGGAGCAAAATTCCGTGCACCGGTTGAGCCTTATTAAACCAAACTACTAATTAGTATGCTATTCAGGAACTCACTCTGCTTTTGTGTAATCATCTTAAAGTTTATGCTTTTGAACAATATTTACTAGAAAGTAGAAACCCAAACCAATTTGGGCCTTGGTCAACACGTTTGCTTTTAGATTGGGTTTGTTACTTTTCGAAGTTTTCTTTATTACAGCTTTTATTCATAACCATTAATAGTCCACTTAATTTGGGTTGAATCACTCTAGGCCGAGAGAAACCAGACCAGTCGTTAGCCCAATAGGCCTAGATGTTCTTCGACCCACAAGTTAAAGTGCTTTTGCTTGTAATTTTTAAATTAAATATCTTCGTGTATTTGGTTTGAATGATTTTATGGGTCGTAATAAACCATATATACATCAGACAGTTATAAAAAAACATCATTGGCTACCAACTATACTATTAGATTTGGATTTAATCTACAACAATTGATGTGAGCCTTGAATATACTCTTTGGTTTTGACAAGAATATAAATATTATATTAATTTAGAATAATTCAAAATTTTACACTTGATTCAAATAGAAAAAAGAACTATTCTATACTTGTGACAATTTTGAATAATAAATGAATATGCTAAATAAATTTATAAAGTGTAACGTAGAATTGAAATAACTCCAAAGCAGTATCAATGATTTGAATCGGATTCTCCGGTCGGATCCCACCATGCGTCTAAAAGTTATGCATACTAGCAGTTTAGCACATGTCTAGAATTCCAACAATTATGTCCCTAAGAAGTCCTAATTTTTGTAAAGATTAGAAAGTTTATTTATTTATTTATTTTTAAAAAAGAAGGCTGTGATAAATATTTCTATTAATGCATAACAAATCCAAATAAGCTATACAAATAAATTATAGCGCATGACAAATCTAAATAAGCTATACAAATAAATTATAGCAGCATCATTAGGGGACCGTATCTAGGGATGAGCATTTGGACAAGGGAACCGGCCGGTACCGGAATCAGAATCGGTACCGAAACCGGAACCGGATAAAACCGATCGGGCCGGGACCGAGACGATATTCTTGTGGATTTTTGGAACCGGTAGAACCGGCAACAACTGGAACCGTATGTTGCTATTTCTCGAGGATCGGTTCCAACATTGAAGACATGGTAAGAACCGGAACCGGTAGAACCGACGGTCTGGTTCGGTTCCTATTTTTCAAGTTCGGTTCCTGGGCCGGTTCGGTTCGGTTCCGACCGGGCCGGTTCCGATGCTCATCCCTAACCGTATCCATAAAGATTTACTCTTATGGACATTATGTTGATGATTTTAATATCACCGGTTATTAACTATAATTGGAATCAAAACAAGTATCAATAAAGATTTAAATCATGATCTAAGACAACTTAGGTGTCGAGGAATGAACTCAAGGGCCACCCAAAACCTCTATAGAATCAGGATGAAGAAATATAAAAGAAATAGATTTGAGTCTATTCAGGGACAACTCAAGTTGTCTGGCACCCGAAGCTGTTGTAACGATTGCAAATTTGAGTATTTGGCCATACTCTATTCAACTTTTAGAGTCAGTTTTTTTGGGCATGACACGTTTGAGAAAAATCATGAAAACAGAAAAATAAGAGAACGTGACACACTCTCTATGTGATGCAACACATCAATATGTCCAATCAATGACACGTGTCACCCGATCGTGACATGTGGTAGTGAATAGGTAGTCACGACACAACCTGTAGGTTGATTTGTGACGCAAAGACATGGTTGAGTGGTAGGACACATGTCAGCTTCTAGGGAGATATGTGGGTCACGACGCGTCTTCTGAACCTTATATATATATATATATATATATATATATATATATATATATATATATATATATATATACTAGTTGTGAGATCCATGTATTACATAAGTTTATTTAAAAGAAAAACTAAATTCAAAATTCTAAACATATGAGAAGTTTGTATTTATAAGCAAAGTGAGAAAATATTAAATTATAAAAATTAAAGTGTTTTTTTTTCTCATTTAAGGTGCATAATAGGTAACAGTAACCTTCAACGTCACTAACAATTCTCCGGTGGGGAATTACAGTCCGCCGGTTATAATCATGTTTGTGTCGTTAATTCCATTGGTGGTTTAGATTGTTAGGGAGACACTATGATTTCGAAACCAAATGGTGTGTTCAAATTAGTTTCCATGGGACATAATCGTTTTTGTGCAATCATAGATAATTGAACAATGATTTGTTGCGGCGGAAATGGTTTCAGTTTGCCGGAAAATCTACGACATGTTTCTTTTGAAGGATAGTAGGCAAATTACGGTGTTTTTTTTTTGTGGGATTTTGACTTCGAACTATTTTCTCTAATGTTGGGGGAATGAATCTTTGAATCAAAATTCTGTTATTTTAGTTAATGTGGTTCTTGGTTTATGCACAACTACATGTGATTGCTGTTCAATTCATAACTCCGGAACGTTTTAAGATAGATTGTGTAAACTCGTTTCTCACTCCCCCTTCACATGTGCACCAAAAAAGCAGTCTTTATGCAACAACAAGCATCTCAGATCTCTAATAATTTGAAAAACAAGGAAACACATAGCACGATGTAGTCCTATGACGTATGTTGACTTTTAAGTTTTACTATTTGGTTCAAACCTACTATATCAGGTATCGGGGATCAAAAAAGCAGGTGAACATCTACTTTATGCCTCTATAAAGCACCAAAAGAAGTTTTATGACTGAATGGGGAAATTCGAAATAGTTTATGGGGCTGATGTGTCATTTCCCATATATATATATATATATATATATATATATATATATATATATATATATATGGTTCGTTCAATGAATGAGGGCTTTTTGCCGGGAAGAAAAGGAAAAAGATGGTGTAACTTATTCATACGGGAATGTGTTATGGTTACTACAGGAACAATGTGCTATGGTTCCTACGAGAACAATCTGTTATGGATCTTAGGGAACAATGTGTTATTTGGTTCCTACGGGAATATTATTATGTGATTCATACGGGAATGTGGTTATGATATTCCTACAAGGACATTGATATGTAAATTCTACTAGAATATTGTTATATGATTTCTGCGAGAATATTGTTTAAATGTTCCTTCGAGAAAAGAGATAAAAACTCCTATAAGAATATTGATATGTGAGTCCTATGAGAATACTGATATGTGATTCCTTCAGAATTATTGGAAAAAGTGTTTCCTTTGGGAAACATTGTGAAAGACTTCCTGAGGGGATATTGTGGCAATTGTTGGGATAGAATCCCGTGTATGCAGTTTATGTGTAAAGCTTGTGTTATAGGGAACTAAATTTCATATGTTTTATCCTTTATGACTTGTTGAATTCATGAAGTTTCAAAATTTTCATGATGATGAAATCAAGAAGGTTGGGTTATATCGTAGTAACACCAATGAGTTTGTAAACTTTGATAAATTTTATGAATTTTTTTATATGAAATTGAATTTTAGCATGACTGTAGGTCATGATATTTGTATAATCTTGGTGATTAAATGGTTGTTTAAAAAGTATGGGTGTTACAGTTGTTGACAACCAAACTTCCTGACATCCTAGGAAATGAAAAACATAATCAAAATGAAGGACCATAAAAGAAATATACTAGTTAGTGCCAAGCTCTATGACATCCTAACTTGCCTATGCAATGTAAAATCATGACTAGGTGGAAGGACCATAAACAAAATAAAATCATCTCCAAGATTTTTGTGTTATTTTTGTATTTATACGATATAACGTCCGCCTCCACCCTTCATCTGATAAACTTCCACCATTACATCAAAGCTTTCTAGAGGAGTTGGAAAGATCAGTTACGTTACCCTATTGGAATTTTAAGACGTGAAGAACTGTTGAAATAATATATCTTCCTGGTATCAAACTTTACATTAATTCTCAAAAGGATATCTTGTGTATATTTTGTATTTGTGTTGGGTGTATTGTGAAATTCTTATGCAGGTTTCCGGGTTAATGCGCGAGTTTATGGGTTGCTCCATGGAGCTGCGTATCCGAGATATTTAAAGTGTTGTACTGTCTCATTTGTGAAGTAGATAGATTTTTTTCTCTGTATTCACACTCTCTTCTCTCGTATTAGGGTTTCTCTCATTTTAGGGTTTCTCTGTGTAAACAAGAGGATCTTCTTGTATAGAAACTGTTTGAGGTTTACATAACGATTTGAGTGTGAGTGTATATGTAGAGAGTTTTCTGATGTAAGTACATGTTTGATCGAACTGATTTATAGTGAATAAACTGTTGTTAAACAAAAGTATCATTCTAATCTCATGAAACTTTAATAAGCTTGACTCTCTTTGGAAGGAATTTCACTTTCAGACTACTTTAATAAGCTTGACTCTCTTTGGAAGGAATTTGATGGTCTTACTAGTCTCACTGAGTGTACCTGTGAAGCTGTTGTTAAACAAAAGGATCATTCTAATCTCATGAAACTTATGCAGTTTCTCAGTGGTCTTGATGACACATATAGTCAAGTCAAGAGCCATATTTTACTTATGGAACCTTTACCTACTGTTAAAACTGCTTTTTCTATATTGTCTAGAGAAGAGTCTCTCCAAAGAAATGGTTCTTTGTCTTCTCTTCAGTCCTCTCAATCTTCATCTAAGTCTCAGTCTACTGCTTTCAATAGTAGATTTAATAATAGGTTTAACTCCAACAGTTCAAATAAAAGTAAAAGTCAAGTTGTTCAATGCAAGAATTGTGGTATTAAAGGTCATTCAATTGATAAATGTTACAAACTAATAGGGTATCCAAAAGACTTTAAGCAGAAAAACGAGTTTAATAATCAAAAATATTTTCTGTTAATTCTGTTACCACTTCTTCTGGGAGTTCTAGTGCTCCTAACTCGACTGATTATGTTGGAGATTCTGAATTTGATCAGCTTACCAAGGAACAATACATTAAGTTTTTGCAACTTATAAATGATAAGCAAGGTAATGAGGAAGCTTCTGCCAGTGCAAATATGGCAGGTACTTGCTTATTCCAAGCTTTCAATTGTTCTGTTAATTCTCAAAAGTGGATTGTTGATTCAAGGGCAAATCAACATATGATTGTCTCTGAATCACTTCTGCATGACACTGTGGATGTGTCTAATTGAATCTTCTTGTCAGTCGTCCTAATGGTACTTCTGCTAAAATAGAGAAGATTGGTAACATGAATATATCTAATTCCTTAACCTTGTTTGATGTTTTGCTGTTCCTGACTTTAATGTAAACTTGTTGTCT